TCTCCTGCCTCTGCCTCCCAAGTAGCTGGGACTACAGGCGCCCGCCACAACACCCGGCTATTTTTTGGTTGCAGCCATCATTGTTGTTTGGCAGGACCGGGCTGGGGATTCGAACCCGCCACCTTAGGTGTACGTGGCTGGCGCCTTAGCCGGTTGAGCTATAGGCGCCGAGCCTAAATTTCTTCTAATTTCACCATCTGCCCCTATCCTGTCCTTGGAAAAGAGGACCTTCCTGAGCTGTCCAAGATCAGCTCTTGGTCCTGTCCCCAGAGAGGCAGGTAAGGAAGAGGCCACCTCCTGTGCTGGGTTCAGTGTGAATTAGACACCTGTTTCTTTGTTCCGTGGTGGAGGAGTTCATCATGAATCCTGGAGTTTGCCCATGATTAGCCAAGTGAAAGGCCCATTTCCAGCTATAGTAACTCTTATCTCTGTGGCCCAGGTCTCTTGTTTAATTTTGTCTTCGTGACTGTGAAATCATTGCTGGTGAAATCTTGTGCAGGATAATGTGGATTATCAACATAAGTGCCCTTTGTAAAGGTGACCAGAAGCCGGTGTGGCCTGGCCTCAGCTCTCTTTACACTCAGTGTCACAAGTTCTCCTGACCCTTAACTAGTCCAACATGTTCCCAGTGGTCACAACTAGTGGTTTTCAGATGTCCACAGTGTCCCTGCCTGGCTGGGGACCCTGCTTGGGCTGGCCTCTATGGCCTACCTGATACCACCCCAGACTCTGAAAGTTATTCTGCCCATTTTGCAGTTGCATATCAATGTTTTGTTTCAATATGTGTCACCAAAGAGCTTGAGTCACAGTCAGGGAGAAAAGGCCATTTGTTACGGGAGTCCACTGAATGATAGAGGATATAACAGGAGAATGAGGGTCTCAAGAAAATTTCTAAGAGTGAAGGAAAGATTAATTGGTCTTATATGGTCCTCCTTAAATGAAACCTACAAGTGATACAGATAAGAAGAACTTCTGTAAAGAAATTTAAAAATCCCAATAGGCATTTTCAAAACTGTACCATCAAGCCAGCATTTTCATTTCTTCATTGACAGTTCTCAAAAGCATCAGGAGAAACACACTTCACCTTCTGTAAAATGTAGAAATAACTCAAATATCAAACAAAAAATAGGCAGAAGTGGGTAAATGGATGTGTGACAGGAAGCAGAGAAGGAGCTCACAGGTGCAGGGGGAATGATCAGATAATGGTTTTACCCATGGACTCAGTGGATCTAAGAGATGAGAAAGCAAGACCCAGGAAGGACTCTTGGAGCCAGGAAATGTGTGCAGGTAAGAGCCAGGTCTGAGGCAGGAGAAACAAGATGCTGCTCCATGGCAGCCTCACACCTGACTTCTCAGTGTGGGAGTTGTCAATGCCAGGTACTCACATACAGGCTTCTGCAGCCTAGACCACACCCTTCCCTTGTGTGAACCACCTACAAGTAGCAGGTCCAGGAAAATCTCACTTTATGGCAAAATGAGATTAGAAATGAGTGGACACAGTATCTATATAAAAGATGCAATTGGTGGGGGCGGGGGGAGGAGAAGAAAAGAGGCAGGAAAAAGAAATGTAAGCAAGTGTCACCTGGAAAAGAGTTACTGTAAAACAGAAGAAAACTGATAACAAGTATTTTGCTAAAGATTCTGAAAACTTAATGACATTCAGGCCAACAGTACAAAAGGCAGACAGTAGAGATGTAGACGGAAAAAAAAGATGAACTAAGACTGGCTGAAGAAGGACACTTGTGAAAATGAAGAGAAGGGAAGTAGCACCAACTGTCTCCCATACCTGGTGACTTTAGTTCCACTGCAGGCAGAGTGCTCATATTTTGAATAGACACAGCTCTGGAATTTTTTACTATTTTTTCTTTTTTAAAAAATTTCAGATGAATCTGGGGTACAAACAGTTCATCCATAGTGTACATTTGTAAGAAAGTCCAATTTGTAGAGGTGTCCCACACCCATGTAGTGTGCCATTTACCCATGCAATGTACGTGTTGTATGGAAATTTTTTCAGCTCCTTCCCCCACCCCTGATTGAATTTCATTGAGTTTTTC